AGTGGACCATGTATGAACAATGCATCATGTATTTCCACGAACGGTACTTATTATTGTATTTGTCCTTTGGGAACAACTGGATACAATTGTGAAATAAATGAAACACTCTCCGATCCATGCAGATTTTCTCCCTGTCATAACCGTGGCTCATGTTTCGCGATTGGCTCCGAAGCATTTTGCATTTGTCCTTCTCGAACGTCGGGTCGCTATTGTGAGTATGGTTCATCCGATCCATGCGATTCCATGCCATGTTTCAATAATGGCACGTGCATTTCACGCGATGAAATATTTGTATGTGCATGTCCTAAAGGAACAGAGGGACGTCAATGCGAAACAAAAGGTATATTGTTGTTTGTTTATTTTTATAGATTTAATAGATTAGTTTAAATGAGTAAAAAAAATGCTTTAAGAGAAACTTTAAATGAGTGACGAGTGCATTCCATAGAGTACTGTAGAATCATTTTTATAATGAACAAATTATCCACTTATATTTTTATCAGATTTTACAGAAAAAAATAGACTAGGTCACTTGTTTGAACAACAAGGTGAATGCAGAAATCAAATCTTTAGAATGCATTCGCTGGACACTCAAGTAGCAGTAAGGGTGTTTCGTTCCAAAGTATAGATTTCAGTTTGATTGATATTTGTTTTTTGTTCATAATTACACCAAGGACTTTATATCTGAAAAAACTCTGATTTTTGTTTAATATTTTGGCATTTGTATAGTTCCATTAACGTGTAACGACATGCCGTGCATGAACAACGGTACATGTTATCAAGGTGACCATTCATATTTATGTATCTGTCCTGGTATTTTTGATGGTGAAAATTGTGAAACAATGAACTTTTCTAAACGTAAGTCCGTTTTTGGTTTCTCATTAGCATCCATAATTAAAATGTTTTCAGAATGTCCATTGGATTGTTCGCCTGGTCAATGCATAGTTACTGGTGATGCAAGATTTCCATATTTATGCTCATGTAATGGTACACTTTATCCAAACAGTTGCAAGGGCAAATAAAAGAATTTTTTTCTATCTTAAGTTTGCTATGATTTAAAATAAAACTATTTCATAAATGTCTTATGAATAAATTTTATTTTAATCGATTATAATTAAAACACTCAAAAACTTATTTGCATTGATTTAAAGATTATTTTTAATAACTAGATAGTTCAAACATTTGCACTGACAATTATAATCATAAAATTTACAAAATTATCTAATCGCGATTAAGATAATCGTTGACTATATACATATCTCATACGAATATTTCAATTAAAGTTTTGATTAAAAATGGCTAAATATTTGTTCTTTTGTATCATTGATTTTTTACTTCGGTTGCATATACGACAAGCAGATAAATAAAACGTGATACTTTGCAAATAAATGAATTACGTATCAAAGACCGAAAACAAATCAAATCAAATATAGATGTCTTTATTCAGTTTATTCTCTGAATCACACACCTATTGGAGACGAAATAAAAAAAAAACAAACGAAGTTGAAATATATTCAATTTCACATTTTCATAAGTACAAACAAAATAAAGATCATCTATTATCTACTACAAGAAAGCAACATAAAATACTAATTATTATTTTTTAGTTCTTTTGCTGAATGACAATTCTCACTATGACATATTGAATCGATTGAAAATCGTCAAGAAATCTGGAACAAATAACTAAATCTCTAATTTTCAAAATGTAAATATGGCATTGACACGGATGCACAAGAGAAGAATAGCTATGTCGGCAATTTTTCATCCAAGCCGATGGTTCGAACGGTTTATTCTTTTTTTTAAAGCTTTTCATAATTTTTCTAATAAATTAAAACTTTCAGTCGCGAAGAGATCAATCTCAGCTCACGAAAAGTCGACTTTAACATGCCATAGTATATTATGTCAGATGGTGCCACACATCTTTCAATTGCTTAAGTCTCCTATTTAATAACTATTTTTTGATGCTAGCGTCAGCTGATATGGCTAGTAAAAGCTACTTAAGTGCACTCACACAATAATAAGTGGACGCAATTTCGACTAAAATCTAATATTTTTCTACGAGTTTAAAGATATTCATGGATTGAGACACAAACAAAAAATAAAACAGAAGAACTGCATTTAACCGACAATTTTCCTGCAATTTGCATGACCTAGATAGCAGTTTAGAAGTTATAATAATATCCGTCTATTTGAACTCACACGATTGTTTTGGTATGATAAGGTTATTAATAAAAACATATTTTAATTTTTAATGATATACGTACATCAGAAAAACAATCCATATTTGTTATTTGCTGAGCAATTTATTGTTGCTCATCCAATTTGGATAGATAAATTCAGTGCACGAAATTCTGATCTTTAACTGTCAATGACATCATTACCCCTCGGGTTGATTAATATCGAACTTATATTTGGTTGAAAAAAAATGTCGAAAGACGATGTATGAGAATAGTAAAGAAAGAGATATTGTTAGTGTTATGGTGAAGATTTGTTATTCAATATTAGAGATATACTAATCATAAAAAAAGTTTTCAACAAAGATAAAATTTTGACAGTAATGAATAAAATATAGAACTGAAAAAATGAACTCGAGCTGCACGACTGTACTTTCATTACATGTTTTTCGATCTCTAATTTTCAATATTTTTGCCTTCAATCTTTTTATTTTCGACATATTTACTTTCAATATTTTGACTTTCGGCGTTATTCAGGTGAATCTATAATATTTTTTTGTAGTGGTGTTGATCTGCTAAAAAACAACGCCATTAATAGAATCAAATTTAATATGAATAATTTTTGTTTTCGGTTTCATGTTTTAAGTCTATATTTTGAATCGTACAAGATGTTATAATGTAATTGTTTGACGTGTTATGTGAATCGAATTCGAATAAAGGTTTTCTTATTTGTTACGGTCTCTATGGCGCATCACATTTTTTTTAATATCCAGCCTTTAATTTGAAAAATGAATACGTTAATTTATATTGGCCACATATACAATCACATTTTGTTTTGTAATGGTTGTTTTGATAAATAAATCAAGGTACCTTAGTTTTGCATAGATGTGTAAATTTATTGAATCAAATCGCGTCACTTACTAATTATTTACTGATTTTTTCAGTTTTTCGAGATATTACAGAAAAAATCAAATGTCCTATATATACGTAATTGGTCATGCGTGTAATGCAAAGAGTCATGTTTGTCTATTATATAACAGCATCGTAAGTAAATGAAAAAATTAATAGTGAAAGAAAAAATGATTCAAGCACTTTCTGTTAATGCAGAAGAAAATCTTCAACGTTTGATTATTTCACAATGTGTTTGGAGTGATACATATAGTTCATTAAAACATGTTCTTAAACGAACAGTTAATCGATTACCATTACTTATATCATTTAGTAATAATAACAATGAACAAGAAACATCAAATGACAATAATGATCAAACAATACTTTTTTTTGATAGAAATATTTCCAAGAAAGCATTATTTACACCATTAAGACAATTACAAGATCAGAAAAATAAATTTGAAATTTATCCACGTCACTGTACTTTTGCTATGACTAATTCATTTAAAGGTAAATTTAAATAATAATCATTAAACAAAAAAAAATGAACTACTTTTTATTCTATTGATTTAGGTATATTTGAATTTGTTCGTAATGGACGACGTTGTAGTCATATCTACACAAATCTTGAACAACTAGTCAATTATGCAACAAATATTAAATGTTCTACTACATTTATGTCTCGAAATCATGTGCGATGTTATTATCAAGACCCAGATTCTTTACATTGGACAAGCAAAGAATATACTCAAGGAGCAATTTTTCAAGCTCAATGCATTCATCGTTCATCAGATCAATCTCATCGTGATCGAAAAGTTAATGCTAATTATCTAGAATGTTTAGATGAAGACGGCTATAATGTTTTTTTAAAAATGAACCATTCTGGTCGTTTCTCTCTAATTGCTACATCCATTGATCAACAACAAAATCAACCTGAAATATTTCTTCATTCTATTCAATCACCTAATATTGGTCAATTAATACAACGCTTAAAACTTGATGAAAACAATAAAAACAATAGTAATTGTATACGTCTTGTACGCGGTGCAGTTCCATATAGTTTTACTTGCCAATATTTAAAATTTGTTCGTCAACATACATATGATGTATTAGTTGGTTTGACAAAAGAAAATCTAATTATTGAATGGAATATAGAAAGTAATATACCATGTCGATATGCAACTAATTTTGATGATATTATTAATAAATTCTATGGAACATGGGAAGAACAAACACTTGAAAGTTATATGGATTATGCACGAACACATTATCGAGACAATTTTCAAATTAATATACAACTTCTTTCAACAAAAGATTGGGCTGCAGTATTGGAATATTGGAAATGGACAGGTGACATTCATCAAACAAATAACAGTGAAAACAATATACCTGATCGACATCCTCATAGATTTCATTTAGTTACTTCAATACAAGTATGAAAAATCAAATATTTCAAAAACAAGTATTATTTTTCTTTTTAAAATTACTTTTAGGATCTTTCTGATGACGCTAAGAGACTTTCTTCTGAATTAAAAAAATCAAAAAACCATCATCATAAATTTCAATCAATCCAAGAAATTCATCATAGACATGATAGAAAAACTTCAAGTCGAAAACAAGATCGAATATTTCTACCTCACCCACGATCTATTCGCCGGCTTTTAATGAAACATGAAAAACTATTTGATGATAGTATCTATGATTCTAATCATAATCAACAATCATTATCAAACGTCAATAAAATTAATTTCAGCAAAAGAAATGCCAGGCGAAAACAATAGCAAAAAAAAAGAAAAATAAATCATATTTATGTGAATATTTTTTTTGTCTAAATAAAGAAATGTATCAATGACATAAACGATGTTAAACACTCTCCCACTCTCTCTCTCTCTCTCACGCTCTCAAACTCATTTATTGATCAGCACGCATATAATATATATAAGAGAGAACAAAATCTTATTTATATCGATTATAAAAAGTAGTCAGGTATTTTGCGTGTTACTTGAATTTCACCACGACGTGGAGCTGGATCAAATTGAAGAAATGAATATTTTAATGAATCATCAAGTTCCATGATTGCTGCTTGATTACCACAACGATAACAATAATTTGGTGCTGAAAATATTGTTACGACATTTTTATCATGAGACCAGTTATAACCTGATAAATACACAAATATACAACATAAAAAATTAAAAATAAGAAAAATTTTTTGTTTTTGTCCAACCTTCCATGACCAATTGATGAGCACGTGAAACAAGTTGAAGACCATTGGTATGATTAAATGTTTCCGATATATCTTGTCCAAATGTATAACCAGCTCCTCGAGGTGAAATACCCCAACCACCACGATCATCCGGATCCGACCTAAGTTTATCATTAAATAAAAAAAAAAAACTTTTTTAATCAAACAAAATTTACCATAATAAATCACACATAGGTCCTTCAT